CAGCTGCGCCGCCAGGGCGGGGGGCGGGGAGCCGCTTCGCTCCACTGCCACACAGCATCTTTAGGGATCTGCAGCCACCAGCCCCCTCCGGAGCAGATCCTTCTGTGCTCTAACAGTGTATTTTTTAACAAATAAATAACTGAGAAACGTTTAAAGCCTGCAGCTCCTCCGAGAGGGTGTGCAACCTGCCCCCGACCCCTGCCGCAGGATGAGAAGCAGCTTGGTCTGCCAGGGGTTTGGAACGCTGCAGGATGCTGGGAACGCCGGTTGTCCCTCCCTGCCACTGGGCAGAGCCCCGCGGCACAGCCGTGGCCATCCCGAGCCATTGCCTGGCAAAGGCAGACCCGGCCGGAGCACAAACGTTACAAAATCCCAAAAGCACGTGTTGCAAAACAGGAGGTGGCAACGCCAAGGGATCGCCGGGGCTGTCTGATAGAAACCACCCGCATGCTCATCCCGGGATTTTTTCTTTCATCCAGCTGCTGATGGGACTGTCACGAGCCAGATGAATTTCCCAGCTCTGAGTCTTGGCAATTAAGTGAGTGTGGGGTGGGGGAGCAACATTTCCATGCACCGCGTTGGAGCTACTGCTCGCTCCAGCTCTGTTCTGTCAGAATTACTGTTAACCCCCCCCCAAAAATATTTGTGTTTGAAACCAAAAGGTTTACATAAACAGACACTTTGGAAACAGTTTCTAAGCGATGAGACCAACAGCTTTAGATGATCCGTCACGACTCACCTCGTGGATTAGACATTTGTCTATGAGCTGTAAATAGGAACTTATATTCTCTTCGTCGGGTCGGGAAACTAAAAGTTGTGTGCATACTGGAAAAAAAAAAGAAAAGAGAAGAGAAATGGGCATGGGGACACCAAGCTGGGGTCCAGGGGGGTCCAACTAACACCGTGGATGTCCTGTTTCCCTTGTCCCACAGGTGAGTCTTCTCATCAGTGAGAAAAAATGCCCTTTCTGCTGCGTCGTCCTATATTTAGGGTCAGATTTTGTTCTCCGTTATGACGGCGTAAATCCAGAGTGACAGCATTGAAGTCACCAAAATTAGACCTGAGCAAATCAGGGGCACAGGATTATTCCCTCCTCCTAGGCAAGAGCCGGCGCTGGGAGAGCTCCTGCTCCTACGGCCAAAATCTGTCCTGAACGCAAATGGATTCCCACCTTTCCCGACGGATTTTAACCTCTTTTGGAATTAATGCCATAAAAGTAAGTGGAAATGAGTTCACTGAGAGATGAGTCTCTCCTGTATAATCCCCAGGCAGGGATGCCTTGGGGTCCGGGAGGACACCTCGTCCCAGCAAGGCTTGTGCCGTACGTACAGCTTCGTGCGTGATGGAGGCGTTTGTCACAGGCTGAATTTTTTTTTTTTCAAAAAAAGTCTGAAATAGGGACAGGGCTGATGTTTCATAGATTCATAGATTCATAGATTT